TTCAAATTCTGGAACCGAGTCTAATAAAGGGGTAAAAGTACTATGTTTTCTTAATCATGTGCCTACAATTTCTGAATTGAATTTGGGCCTAATGATATGCTATTTTTCTCCATTTGATTATATATATATGTAAATTTTTAAAGGATGTTCCTCCCTTCGGCCAAATTAATGTATTTATCTGTAATAACTGAAAAGGACTTCCATTTGGAAAAACAAGGTCAAGGGACTTAGTTGCTCAAGATAGAAGTAACTAAAATATTACGTTCTTGGCCCTCAGATATAATTATATATTACTTAATTCTGTATTTCCTGTCAATTAATGCTGTTTTAAAATATCATGGTAGTTTTTTTTTGAAATAAATGACCTTACCTGTCTAACGAATTTATTAAACTATCTTATTTTAATTATATGTGATTAATTTTTAGAAATTTAAAAAGTTCATTGTTTATTTTAATTTGTCAATAAATGCGCATTCTTTAATAATAAAAGTTGACTAAATTGGTAAGTCAAGGCCAAAATTTCGCTCGCTTCCTCCAAAAGCCTTGAGATTTTTGGCTCCGTCTCTGATGACCAAAGGCATATAATCTCATCACTTATTTGGGTCATCTAATCGAGTTTAGCCTTGTGCCTTAATTGGCTTAGGCGATTGACGGGGCTTTTCACCAGCGCAGCGTTAACGGAAGGTTGTACCTTGAATGAACCATTTATGGAGCTTGTAACTGTTAGATCAACAGAAGAGAAATAAAATCTCATTGGGTCATTAAAAAGCGCCAGGTATTTGTATCTTAAAATTCTTTTGTATTTGAATATCCACAAAACTTACATCATTTTGCGTGTCACAATTTGGGAACCATTCCTCGAAAGACCATATTCCCGAGGTTTACTTATTTAAGACGGGTTCTTCCGACATAAAGCAAAAAATCAAATGTGTCTTAATTGTAATTACCAAATATTCTGTCATAATTGTGTAAGATCAAATCAATTATATGCAAATCAAACCCTAATATTTGCATAAGACATAATTCCCAAAATCTTAGAACAAGGTGATTTTCACTACATCACAAGTGACGAAAGACATACCTTGATCCATGATGATTCCTTGTGAAGAAATCAATTGTAGATGAGAAATCTTTGAAGAAATCGGTTTCTCTCTCTTGACCCCTTTTCGCTTTATAACGTTCTTGATGGAAAAGAAACCGTCGTTCTGTTCTAGGATTGAGAGAGGACCAGTTTCTAATTGGGTCTTTTATAGTCACATCATCCATCAGGGTGTACGGTAATTAGAATACACCTCTCTATTGACCAATATGAATTTAGCACATAATAATTGTTAAACTTAAACCACATATGGACCAGGCCATTAATCACGCGGGCCATAATAAAATCCAACATTCTCCCACTTGGCCCATGTGATATTATACAACTTTAAGGTTTAATAATAAAACATAATGCGCAAAGTATAAGCTAAATCCTTTCTCAAATTGGCCAACTCATAAATTGTCACATTCCGAAATTCCACCAATTGGAATTTATTGAATAAATGAGGTTTATGAGATGTGCTCGCAGTAAATTCTCGCCTGGAACTGATCATTCCTGGGAATGCTAACCATTAGGGAAATGCTAATAGGAGAATTAAATTCGCGCGACTAAAGAAAATTCGATCGTGAATGGATTTCGACCATTAAATCGCGGAAGTGATATTTCGAGCCACTGTTGGTCGATCCAAGGATAGTTAGGGGTCAGTTCGCCACTGTCCTAGTAGTGGATCGCGGGTGATTCCGTTGGACCACGAAACGACTTGACAAATGATTCTGAAATTATACAAAAACGATCGTACCCCTTGGATCAAGTGATGGATCTTCGCGATTTTAATGACAACCGAGGTCGTCACGCACCGAACGGACTTGCACGTGACTCGATTTAGTATCAGTCATGAGTCGATTTCGCGAATTTTCGCAGGAAGCCGCCCGTTAGCTCGAAAAACGCTCGAGTTGCGTTTAATAGAATTTAATTATGGAATTTTTGCCCAAATTGGACACCGGAAAATTAGGAAATCACGACGGAATGTTAGGACGACGTTGCACGTGACACGTATGAATTTTTGGTGCGCTCAATTCCTTCGGAAAAATTCGATTTGGACAAGAAACGGAGAAAGTGACCAAAATACCCCTAGGATTTATTAAAGGACAAGCTTTAAGGGTAAAGGGCATTTTGGTAATTTTTCCCTAAAATTTTGATTGGACAATTTTACCCTTGGATATTTTGGAAATTACAAGTATACCCTTGGATATTTTTGTGCAAGAATCGATCTCGGCCGTCGGATCAAGATAAGATCGAATCGGGACCGTCGGATTACAAATATGAGTAAAGGGCATTTTGGTCATTTTCGCAATTGGTCAAAATATATTATTTGAGTCAAGAATGTGGTCTTCCTCCCCCTTCTCTCCTTCATCTTCACGATCAGCCCCTCCCCCCCTTTTTTTTCTTTGCCGTGAACTTCTTCCTCTTCCACAGTGAAGCCACGCCGGCGCCGCTGCTCGCCGCCACACGCCGGACCGCCCTCTAGCCGCCGCTTAGCCGCCATACCAGCCCCAAACCACCATCACCAGCCACCGTTTCTCTCTCTTTTCTCTCTTTCCTCCAAGTGGCCGTGAGCCCAAATCAAGAGCCGGACCGCCGCCGCAAGCCGATTGCCGTTGCCGAGCTTCGCCGCCGTCCCCGCCGTGTCCGTTTAAGTGCCGCCGCTTTTCGTTCTAGCCGATTTAGCCTAGAACTTGGTAAGTCACACTCTAATCCCGATTTAGGATATTGGGTATCGACGGATAATTTGATTTGGGGTGAAATTGACAATATGCGGGTGCGAAATATTGGGGTTTAAGATGGGAATGTTGTGGCGGGCCTTGAGGATTATTTTTGGAATTTTTGGAGGACAATTTGAGGTGAATTACAAGCTGCGAATTACTGTTCACAAGCTACGAATTACTGTTCACAGGGCTGTGATGATTTGTTCAGGACGCAAGTTGAATTTTTAGAACCGTTATTTAATGGCGAGAAAGTGTCGTGAAGGATCGGAATTAATCCGACGCCATTTGGTTGGAGAAAATTGGCAATTTACGTGTTTTAGGCATGTTTGAATTATTCTGGATGGGGTTGATTTAATTGAGGGCTTATTTGTGTGTTTATATAGTGGACATATGTCTGTTTGGTGCACGCGTGGGCCAGATCAAATTAATTGTTGATATTGGCCATGTGAATTGTTGAGTGAGCTCTGTCTGCGTGTGACTCGATGCGTGCACGGATCGCGTGTGATGGGCTAGTTGCGTGTGGTAAATGCATATCGAGTATGTGCATGAGTAAGGAGAAGTTGTGGTGTGACAAGTGATTGTGGGAAAGTATGCGAATGTGTGGTAGTGCGAGAATGGGATCGGGCCGGGTATCGTAAACTCGGGCAGCGATCACGTAGATCTGATGCATTTGGCACAGGCTGAGGCTGGAAAAAGCAAGTATGAGAATCGGTCCGAGGCATGATCAGGTCTGGTGAGATCGGGATTGGACCGAGGCATCTTAAGCTCGGGTTTCAATCATGTAGGCCTGTCGCATTTGGCGCGGGCTGAGTTGGGATTGGGCCTGGGGCGTGTGATGCTCAGGTCGCGATTGGGGCCTGAGGCGTGAACGGGTACGCGGGCCGGATGTGGTGAATGATCGCAGTGTGCCTGAGGCGTGTACTTCAACGCGGGTCACTGGCGAGGAATGAGAAAGAGGAAATGAGAATGGAAGGAATAGTGGAATGAGAGTTGGTGCATGCGTGTGTTGCATACGGCATGATTATGATTGAGTACGGGTGTACGCATGTTTGAGTCTGACTATATTATTTGAGGTGCCTGCGATGTGATGACTTGATGTGTACGAATGCACGTGTGTCTGTGTGATTGTCTGGAGGTACGTGATAGCCTAGGTTGGGTTTAGGGGTGAACTTGCTGAGATGTAATCTCATGGTTGTGTAAACCAACAATTTTCAGAACCCCGACCTGAGCGATGAACCCTCCACCACCGCCACCAGTACGTTTTGGAGTACCAGTGCATACGGAGTATGAGGTAGCTGAGTTTCCGATGGGTGACGGGATGACCTGGATAAGACACACGACGACCGTGTTTGTAGAAGTGGGAAAGCTTGCCTTGGATGAGAACCATTTTTGAGGTTGAACGTCGGGTCATCGACTCCTTTTTGATTTTGGTAGTTTCAGTAAAGTGTGCACTAGTAGTCAGAGGTTTGTTTTATTGTTTATATGGTGGAACAAGTTGAACAAGAAATGGAAATGTATATTCTCCCAATTCTCCCCAGTTTAAGTTTGTCCGGGTGTTTTATGGTTTCTGTTTGCGCGATTAAATCTCTGATGTTTAGTTGAGGTCGGCGATAACCTGGGACGTCGCAACCGTTCGACCTGAAGCGGGAAGTCGCGGGCTCGACGGGGGTTTCGGGGCATGACATAAATCATCATTAAGTAAGAACTTACAAGGATCATGGCGGTTGTATGTCATTAGTTCGACACAGTCCCTTCCATGTATCACAGTATTAGTCCTATACTTAACATGATCAATAATGAGAGATAACATAATGGTCTAGCAATAATGTTTCTTTTCAGAAACAAATCCTGTTAACATTCACATAATTCATTCATGTATATACCGACATAAGGAAACATGATGCATAAGTGTATCAGAAACAATACATAAGTGATATCGAAGTGTCAAGTACATAAAGAGCATAAAACTTTAACATAATGTCAATAATGGTTTTCAATAATGCCTATTCTTTCGACATGTTCGCTAAATGTCTTTGGTAGCAACCCTTTAGCTAACGGATCCACAACCATAAAATTGGTGCTAATGTGCTCAATTGACACTCTTCATTTTTGAACTTCTTCTTTAACATCAAAGTATTTCAATTCCATGTGTTTAGCACCCTTCGAATACTTGTCGTTTTTAGAGAAGAAGACTGCTACTGCAAATTGGTGCTAATGTGCTCAATTGACACTCTTCGTTTTTGAACTTCTTCTTTAACAGCAAAGTATTTCAATTCCATGTGTTTAGCACCCTTCGAATACTTGTCGTTTTTAGAGAAGAAGACTGCTACTGCATTATCACAATAAATTTTCAGCGGCTTGGCAATACTATCGACAATTCCAAGTCCTGAAATAAAGTTCCGCAGCCATAATCCATGAACAGTGGCCTCAAAGCATGCCACAAACTCAGCTTCCATAGTGGATGCAGCAATGACAGACTGCTTCGCACTTTTCCATGAAATTCCTCCTCCAGCTAAAAGGAACAAATATCCATATGTGGATTTTCTGGTATCCACACACCCAGCCCAGTTCGAATCTGAATAACCTATCACCTCTAGATGATCGGACCTTTTAAACGTGAGCATATGATCTTTTGTCCCTTGCAAGTATCTCAATACTTTCTTTGCAACTTTCCAATGATCCAATCCTGGATTACTTTGATACCTGCCCAGCATTCCGACAGCAAAACTGATGTCTGGCCTAGTACAAGTCTGAGCATACATCAAGCTCCCAACAATAGATGCATAAGGAATTTGTTACATTTGTTTGCGTTCCAATTCATTCTTTGGACACTGCATAAGGCTCAATTTATCTCCTTTCTGAATTGGAACAACACTTGCAGAGCACTTTTCCATCTTGAATCTCTCTAGAACTTTATTAATATATGCTTTCTAAGACAACCCTAACAATCCTTGTGATCTATCACAGAATATTTTAATTCCAATCACATAGGATGCCTCACCCATATCTTTCATTTCAAAGTTCTTAGAAAGGAATTTCTTGGCCTCATGTAACAAACCAAGATCATTAGTAGCAAGCAAGATATTGTCAACATACAAAATTAGAAATATAAACTTGCTCCCACTGACCTTAAGATATATACACCGATCAACAACGTTTTCCTTAAATCCAAAGGAGGTGATAGTATCATTGAACTTAAGATACCATTGTCGGGAAGCTTGTTTAAGTCTGTATATCGACTTCTTAAGTTTACACACTATGTGTTCATTTCCTTCAACTAAAAACCCTCTGGTTGGTCCATATAAACTTCTTCATCTAAATTCCCATTCAAAAAGGCAGTTTTCACATCCATTTGGTGTAACTCTAAATCGTAATGAGCCACCATAGCCATAATAATTCTCAGAGAGTCCTTCTTAGACACAGGAGAAAAGGTCTCTTTATAATCAACACCATCTTTCTGAGTAAAACCTTTGGTAACGAGTCTAGCCTTGTATCTTTCAATATTGCCACTTGAGTCGCGTTTGGTCTTAAAGACCCATTTACAGCCGACTCTTTTACAACCTTTAGGCAAATCAACAAGGTCCCAGACTTCATTGTGATCCATTGATTTTAACTCTTCCTTCATGGCGTCAAACCACTTAGCAGAATTAACACTTTCCATGGCTTGTGAAAATGAAACTAGATCTTCATCAATTCCTAAGTCAAATTCATATTCATGTAAATAAATCACATAATCATCATAAATGGCAAATCTTCTTTGCCTTTGAGACCTTCTTAATGCCACTTCATGTGGTTCATCTACTGCAGGTTCATTAGTAACAACTTTATCATGGAGTGTTTGGTCATTTATTTGTTGTTCTTGTATGTTGTCAAGCCGTTTGACAACTGTGGGAACAACAACCTGAGAATGAGTTATAGGTAAAGGTACTTGTATCCTATCTTCTTGAATTTCCACTTTTCGTGGTTCTACACTCCTACTAGTTTCACCATTTTCAATGAACCTAGCATTTCCAGTTTCAACAATTCTTGTACTATGGTTAGGACAGTAAAATCTATACCCTTTGGATTTTTCTAGATAACCAATGAAGAAACCACTGGTTGTTCTTGAGTCCAGTTTCTTTTCATGAGGATTATAAATCCTTACTTCCGCCTGGCAACCCAAAACATGCAGATGCCTCAAACTGGGTTTCCTTCCTGTCCACAGTTCAAAAGGAGTCTTTGGAATTGCCTTACTAGGAACCCTATTTAATAAATACATGGCGGTTTTCAAAGCATGCATCCGCAATGATAAGGGTACAGAAGAATTACTTAACATACTCCTAACCATATCCATTAATGTACGGTTACGCTTTTCTGCAACACCATTTTGTTGCGGTGTTCCTGGCATAGTGTATTAAGCACAAATACCACGCCTTTCAAGGAATTTAGCAAATGGACCAGGGCATTGTCCAATTTCTTCATATCTTCCATAATACTCACCACCTCTGTCAGATCTAACAATTTTCACCTTTCTGTCTAGCTGTCTTTCAACCTCATTGATAAACACCTATAATGTGTCTACTGATTGAGATTTTTCATGTAAGAGATATTTATAACCATAATGTGAAAAATCATCAATAAAGGTGATAAAGTACTTTTCTCCACCAAACGATGGAACATCAAAAGGTCCACATATATCAGTGTGTATTACTTCAAGGAGCTGTGTGCTTCTTGTGGCTATTTTCTTAATTGTTTTTTTTTTGTGTGTTTTCCTTTAATACAATCCACACAAATACCAAGATCAGTAAAATCCAAAACATGAAGGATTTCATTCTTTACTAATCTTTGTATTCTTTCTTTGGATGTATGACCCAAACGTTTATGCCACAAGTAAGCTGAACTTTCAACCACTAAGCCACGTTTCGAACCAACATTATGATGTAGGGTCAATAGAGTCTCAGCAAATAAATTATCAAGTTTTAATTTGTACAAACCATCACAAAGCACACCAGAACCAATAAAATGATTATGTTTAAATAAACTGAAACATCCATTTCCAAACTTAAAAGAATATCCAGTTGTATCAAGTTTCGATAATGAAACTAAATTTCGAGAAACAGAGGGAACATAAAAAGTTTGAAAAAGATCTAAATGATGTCCAGTGTCCAAAATCAAACGGTACATTCCAATGGCTTCAACCGGAGCTTTGACTCTAGTCCCCATGAAAATAAACTTTTCATTTGGACTTATGGTTTGGGTTGTAAGGAATCCCTGCATCGTATTCGAAACATGAGTGGTACAACTAGAATCAATCCACCAAGTATTATAAGGAACTTTTGCCAAGTATGATTCGAAACATACAAAAGCACTAAGCTTACCTTTCTTTTCGAACCATGCCTTACGTTTCAAGCAGTCTTTTCGATAGTGTCCAGGTTTTTTGCAGAAATGACACTTATCATTCTTTTGTTCCTTCTTATGGATTTGGGCAGATGACTCATTAATCTTTACTGGTCCTTTATTGCCCTTTCCATTCTTCCTTCCTGGTTTTCTTTTAGCTCCTGGATGACCCATGAGATTGACAGAGTGGATTCCTTGCTTCTTAAGCCTTGCTTCCTCTTGAATGAGCATACTTTGCAGTTCAGTCACATTCCACTTATCCTTTATAGTATTATAATTTATTTGGAATGGACCATACTCAGGAGGCAAGGAATTTATGATAAACTGCACAAGGAAACTTTCATCCACTTTCATTCCCATGGAACTCAATCTTGCTGCTATATTTGCCATTTCGGTGACATGCTCATGCATGGTACAAGAACCATCGAACTTCATGGTGGTTAATGTACCCATTAATGTCCCAGCAACTGACTTATCAGCAGAATTAGACTGAGAACGACTTTCCACTAACTTCATAAATTCCTTAGCATTGTCAGTTTGAGGAATGGTTGACTTAATGTTGTTTGCTACAGTCATCCGCATGAACATTAAACTCAGTCTGTTTGATCTTTCCCTAGCCTTATGGAAAGACCTTTCTTCAGTGCTGCTAGAAGCAGTAAGAACAGCGGGCTTGTCATTCATGAGTGCTAAATCAAGATCAAGAACACCTAGGTGAAACTTGATTTATTCACTCCATTCAGAAAAGTTAAGCCCATTGAACTTCATAATAGACGAAGCTTGCGAATGAAGAGAAACAAAAACAGATGCTGCAAAATACATAGAATACTCACACATTAAAACTTTGAGTCGTAACTTAAACACATAACATTAACTGCACATCGAAGTTCTCCTATGGGCAATACAACAATGTACAACCATAAAACATAATTGATGCTTAAATTTAAGTTCACATAATTGGTAATTATATATACTCCAATTAGACACGTTTGCTATCTTTGGATATGCTAAACATATCTAACCAAGTATACTAATTAACCACTATTATGTTCATGATTGAAAAATTAACCGATCAACCTTTGGGTGATCCTTAAATATTTTATAATCAATGAACTTCAAATTACCTATGACAAACAATACATAGATAACATCATGTCATCTCATTAGTAGCATCACATAACATGGGTAATTGAATTTTATTTAATTTGATGTCTATGAGAAACTTTCTAATTCAGCCACTTTGGTGACTAACGAATTATACATAATATAGTTATCAAATTAAATAATCATATCAATAATTATTTCAATTGAATGAAATACAATTAATTCTTGTGACGCGAGTGTTCATGAAGGTCAAAAGTCATATTTTATGTAGAGATTCTACTACCCAGAAAAATGTATGTTCAGCATGTACGGAAGAGATCACTGGGACATGCATTATCGTGTGAAAGAGCCCCTACAACCTTCACCATTGCAAAGACTAAGAAAGTGATAGCAGGAACCAACATCCTATCACGCTTGCAGAAACGAAAGGCAGCATCTTTGTCCATGAGTTTATCAATTAAAATATAGAAATTTAGTCAAGAATTCAAGTGGGCCCAGTTCTAAACAGCCAAAAAACCACTTACGCTATTAGAAACAAACGCGGAAAAACAAATACAATACGCAAAGATTTACGTGGTTCGATCACAAGGTGATCTATGTCCACGGGCGAGGCATAACAAGTTCCACTATAATCAAAGAGAATACAGTTTTCAGAAGTCGAAACAACGACTTAACAAAACCTCACGGCTCACAAATCTCTCAGAAAACAAAATTCTCTCTACATCAATGAAAAAACCTAGCCGCGGTATAAATAGGGCTTCCAAAAACAATTTCCTCGGAGGCTACGCCCCTGAACCACCCGAGACATTTGTTCGCTTGCTCCAGCTCGAGCGAACCGCCATAGAGATTTGTTCGCTTGCTCCAGGTTGGGTCTATCGGCCCAACCCTCCGCGTCACGAACTAAATCTCAATTTTTTCTCCACTTTTGGGTCGCGCAAAAAATATGTTGGGTTGGATGATGAACTGGACCGAGTACATAAAATTCAAGACATATTTAACATACACCATCCGTCCCCAATCACAAGACCAATTTGACCAAACCCCGAAAAGGAATCAAGAAAATTATGCCTCTCTGTGTTGCCATCACGCACAACCATTGTTAAAGAAACAGAGGCGGGGTTCAATTGCGAAGAGGAATCGCGCAAAGCGATGAAGTCAAGGCTGCTATGCACCGAAAGTTTTGAACTTTACGATCTTAGTTTGCACGAGGTACAGTTTACCGTATCTATCAAAATCTCATATTTACGACAAACATCAATAAAATTTTCTCATCAATCAAACAATT